TCTTAGTGTAACATGTTCCAACATTTAAGTAAGTTTTATGGTTAGAGTCTTTTGGCATGAACAATAAACATTTTCACTAAGTATACATAATCACACTATTGTGTAACATGTACACTTTTTAATGCTTCATGATCACATGAGGACTGTACAGATTGCTTTCATGCTGAAAATGATGATTTTAAGTCTCTTTTCTCCCAATATGACTTGTATAGAGCAGTTTATTCTGCACTGTAGAAGTGAGCATTTTTCCATTTGAACTCATTAGCTATTGATTCTACCAGGGTGGCCTGCACTTATTCTTAATACGTGTATTTTGAAGAATTGTACTGGGAATTCTAACCATAAATATGCACATTTATCAACGTCTAAAGTTTTACAGAAAATTTTTGCCTGCTTTTTGCATTTGGTTTTGCTATTTGAAACAGGGTTTCTCTGTGTAACATCGCTGGCTGTCCTAGAATTTGCTTTATAGAACAGGCTGGCCTCAATTCCACAAATACCTGTCTGCTTCTTCATCTGGGCTTCCAGAATTAAAGGCATGTGTTACCATGCTTAGCCTACTGAAAGTTATTAATGATAACAAAATAATTGTTTTGAAGCACAGTCTCGCTGTGTTACAAGTGGTAGTTTTTCAGTCTTGAGCTCAAGTGTGTCTCTCACAAACACATCCAAGCCTAGGAATGTGCAATGAATAACTTGACTCAAAGACACGTTTGTGCCTTGTAATAATTTAAGGGAAAATTGCTGAATGACAGAATGGAGCCCAGGAGTAGTGCTCTCACTTCAAAGCATACTTGGAATTCTGGGAAACTTCTCTCTTCTTCTCTACTATCTACTCCTTTACTACAACGAAGGCACATTAAAGACCATAGATTTGATTCTTACATATATATTTACAGCCAACTCCTTGATTATTCTCTCCAAAGGAATGCTGCAGATAACAGGCGCCTTTGAGTGGAATCAGTTCCTCAATGAAGTTAGATGCAAAGTTACTTTATGTGTTCTCAGACTTGGCAGAAGCATGTCCATCACCACCACCTGTCTCTTGAGTGTCTTCCAGGCCATCACCATCAGCCACAGGAACTACTGTTGGAAGGATATCATGGTCAAAAACCCAAGGTTCATGGACTATTCCATTTTCCTCTGCTGGATACTACACATTATGGTGAATATGATTTTCCTTGTGTATCCATCAACCAGGAGGAATAGCAAAAATATGACACAAAAAAGAAGTTTTGAATTCTGCTCCTACTCTCCAGGACATGAGACGATAATAGAATCACTGTATGTGGCATTTTGGGTGTTACCAGAAGCCTTGTTTTCATTGTTCCTTGTCAGTTCCAGCAGTTTCATGATTGTCATACTGTATGGACACAAGAAGTGTGTTCAACATATCCACAGTTCTCATTCTTCCCCCAGAACCTCTCTTGAGTCCAGAGCCACACAGAACATTCTAGTCCTGGTGTGCACATTTCTGGCTTTTTACTCACTCTTTTCTGTCTTACAAGGCTGCATTTCTCTTTCACATAATCCTAGTTGGTGGCTAGTGAATATCATTTCTATGTGTTTTCCTACTTTAGGCCCCTTTGTCATGAACCATGATACCACTGTGTGAGGATTCTGTTTTTCCTGGATAAGGAATATAAAAAGACCATGATTTTCTATGAAGAGTGTAAATTATATCTGTTTAATAATGCAGAGTATCTAATGACTTAATCACTCATGTCCTTTAATATCAGCATAATAATTTAAGGGGAGTTTATTTTAATAGTATCACTTCACAGATTAGCAGTATTATATTCTCACTTACAGACTATGGACTGGCCCACGGTTTCTTAGCTACATTCACTGTGTTAGTTATGGACTCTACTTCATTGAGGGTTCTTTTAAAGATATCATAATATGGTTGGTTTCTTCTGCCTTTTTTCTACCCCTGTTGCATAAGTGGGTCTTTCTTGTCAGGCCGTCGTTTTGTAGTTCATAGGGTTCATGGTTGGGTGATATCTTTTTTTTTCATCCAGTATAGATGAAAGCTAACCAGTATAAACAAAGCTTACAAGTCAGTGCTTGATTTCTTTACATTTTATGACTCAAGGATTTTGTAGCTGCTCATATGTACTCACAGTTATATTTGAAAGGATGCACAAAGAGAGATGCTCTCTCAGCCTGGACTCTTAGGGGAGTGCCTTGACCCTACCAAGAGTAAAATGACAGACTCTAGATATCCCCTATGTGGAAGGATTTGGCAATAGGGTGGGAGGGGGGGGGAAGGGGAGTGCGGGAGGAGGGGAGGGAGAGGGAACTGGGATTGACATGTAAAACAAGCTATTTAAAATTAAAATAAAAAATGATAAAAAAAAAAGAAATAAATACAAAAAAAAAAAAAGAAAGGATGCATAAGCCCAAGTCAAACAATATCACAGTGCTAGGGATAGGAATGACATAGACATGAAGTCCTAGCATGACATGAAATGCTATCAGTATTTTATAGCTACCAGGAAAGGAAAGAGAGTCAGTTTACTTTAACAATGTGACCTCAGTTAGGCTGAGCAAATTCAACAACCAGTAAATGCAACCAAGAGTAATTGGGCAACACAAATTGAAATCTATTGGCTTAAAAAAAAACATGAACTTTTGGGGTAGGTAGGTGGGGGTAGAGCTGAGAAAATTTGAGGGAGAGGGGTTGAATATGATGAAGACACATTGTATTAAACTCTCAAAAAATTGATTTGAAAAATAAAATTTGTGAGAAGCCATTTGTATTTTTAATGTAAACTCTAGTGTTTGGGTTTTCATGTGGGATCTATAGGTGAAAAACAGAGGTGAATTCTGCAGGGTGTTGGGCCCTGTGTAACCAAGCAATGACTTTTTCCATATAAATCTTAAGCAGTGTTCCTTAGGTCTCAGATCCAAACAGACAAGGAGGTCAAGAAAATAGGATGAGGGCACTGATGTCTGTGAAGACAGTAAATACAGGGAGCACATCCAAAAAAGAGGTAATGTCACCAGACATACTATGTGCAGAAATTGTATACAGAAGTAGAAACCAATTCCAGGGAACCAACTCTAGCAATTTTGATGAAGAGATGAGCACCGTTAAATATTGTTACAAATCTTTATGTTGAGTGATCTTCAAGGTATTGGCCATCATTTTTTAGATTTCCTTTAAGCTAATTTACAGGTAATGTTTAATTGACAGATCTCAGAGGACTGCTTTGAGTCCCCTTGGTTTGAGGAGCTAGAGACCAAACAGTCTTTTGGTATATAGAAAGGACGGTCATCAAGTCATCCTAGATACTTTGAGCAGTCCAGCCTCAAAGGATACTGCCACAACCTTCCCCTTCAGCAAGCCTTGATCTAATCACTGTTGTTCTAATTTTCAGCAAAAGATCTCAGTGACCCTGGTGCATGTACATATATAAACTATTTCTTGACTGCGCTGCTGATCTTAACATAGCTGTCCCCCTACATGTTGTGAAACAAAGAGTAGCATCTCAGTTTGTCACTCTTGCAAGTACTCTTGATAACAAAAAGCTATACCCATTGAAGGTTTCCAGTTGGTTCCTATGTGAGGTTTAAGACTGAGTTACAAAGACGGTTTGGAAGTCATGCATATGCCTGGCAATTGATGTAATTCAATCTCTATAGTTCAGATAATATTTTTTGTGGAAATGTAAATTGGATTTTCACTTTGTTCTTTCATTAGTATGAAAGGCTACCATTCAGTTGACTGTACTCACTCATCTTGCTTTGTAGTGTTAGTCTCAATAAATGTTTACCACCAATGATGTCTTCTCACTCATGCTGTTCCTCACAAGCATGACAGGATGAGTATGTTGTTCATGCCGGGCGCAATAAAGTGGAGATTCCAACTACTGTATAGGTCACACATTTGAATGAGTTACTAGAAAGAGTTGCTGTTAAAAGTCCCTCATTCCTTCTCAAACCTCTTGAGCTACTTTGCTCTCTGCCCTACATTTCTCCAGGTTCTGAGTAGACTGGGCTATTGCAATCTGCTTACAGCATTCAGTTGTTTTTGCTAAAACAAAATCCCAAGTTCTTCCACATTCCTCCAAAAAAACAACATGGTCAGAGGTTTCACAGCAACTTTCCATTGTCTGATAACAATTTGCATATTAGTTACTTTCCTGTTGCTAAGGCAACACCCTAACTAAAACAAACTTAAAGAAGGAAAAGTGATGTGAGCATGTATAGGAATATGGACTGCTCCTCACAGCAGGGAGACAGAGCAACAAGCAGCAGGCAAAAGCAGCAGGAGCAGGAAGCAGAGTGATCACATCTTCAAAAGCAACAGGAAGCAGAGAGAGCCAACTGTGAGGTACACAAGGATATTAACATCAAAGTCCTCTTAAGTGAAACACCCCTCCCACCCTCCTACCCCCCCTCCCCACCGCGTGCGCGCAAAGGTTGAACTATCCAGTCCTCCCCAAATGGTATAAACAGCTGGGCACCAAGTGCTCTCAAGTTCCTGAGGCAGTAGGGGACATTGCTCATTCCAACCAGCAGTTTTCCATCTTAGTAAACGCTGACCATGAGCAGAACAGTTTTCTAGGTTTGTATTTTGTGAAGTGAATTATGGAAGCTCAGAGAGTTCTGGGAACTGAAGACTTACATGTTGGTCACAAGTAATGATGTCTTTTGTAGCCTATAGATTGATGTCTCTGCTGCCCTAACGCCCTCAAAGAAACTTAACAGGCCAGACAGCAAATGGCAAGCCACTACTTTATTTGTTTCTTCCTAATTGCAAAAGATTGATGTTCTGCATTTTTCTCAGAATAATGGTGGATTATTCCAGTTTCCACTCGATGCTTTTTTCCATAATTAAACCAATTTTTAACTAAATTTTTTCATGTATTTTACATACCAACCACAGTTTCCCCTCCCTCCTCTCCAGTGTTCCCACTCCCATCTAACCCCTCATCCACTACTCCTCCATCTCCATTTAAAAAGGGGCAGGCCCCCATGGGCTTGAACAAAGCATGGCATCTCAAGTTGAGGCAGGACCAAGTCCCCACACACACATCAAGGGTGGGCTAGGAGGTAACAAAGCATGGTGAACAGGTTCCCAAAAGCCAGCTAAGCACACCAGGGACAGGTAATGATCTCATTGCTAGGAGCCTCACAGGCAGACCAAGCCACACAACTGTCACACACAAACAGAGGGTCTAGTTGGTCCCATGCAGGCTCCCTATACTGAGAAGATAACCTCCATTTGTGGAATATTTCATGAACACATCGATTTCATTTTGTTGAACATGCTGATTCATGAAGGATATAAATCCTTTAATGAATAGGACTGTGTTCAGAGTTCATGAATAGGACTGTGTTCAGAGTTTATGAAATAGCCAGGTGATATTTGTAAATCTTCCTAACATATTTCCACATCATCATTTTGGTTTATTTGAAAGAAGTGTGACAAAGATGGCAAAGATTTCTGAGCAGATTATGGCACTGTGTTTCTCTTCCTAAAGATACTTCAGTAGATATCCCTGAAATCCTGATTGACTCTGTGCTGCATAATGCACATTGATAATTTATAATCAACTTCACTTTTTGTAGAAGAATCCAGATTTCCTGGAGCCCAGTGAGACCCATAAACCTATCTGAAAGACTCCAACACACAAGACCTTGATATTCTCTGGATACTGTGTCACTGTCATTGTTCAGAGATTGTGAGCTCATAAGAGACTCTCCAAACACTGTCTCTTTGGAGACACCCACAGAAAACTCACCATCAGCTTTGGGAATGAGCTATCAAAAAATGTTCTGGAAAAGTTCTTGTCTCCCCAAGCTAGAGCTGTCATCGTCACTTGAAGAAGCTGAAAACTTGCAGTTCAGAAGGGAGATAAGGTCACAGCCACAGACCTTTATTTCACAGTAGAGATACCTCCATCGTAATGGTGCTGGTTTTCCAGGATGCAACAAAGTGCTCACTGAACAGAGAAGGTTCTGCACAGGGAAGGAGTCAGGTGAGTAGTTTTTATTTAGTCTGGGAAGAAGAACCAGATAAGAAAGGAAGTCTCGATAAGTGCCCATATATGTAAAAGGGATTCAGAAGTTGGAAAACATAAACTGCTGATACAGTCTTCAGATTCTATGAATGTCTTGTAGTTTAATTTCTTTCCAAAATCTTGATCTATTATTACCAATTGTTTGACGTAATCAAGGGCTAGGTAAATGTAAGCATTTAAATATGAATTAGTAATAATAGTAATGTAATTTCTTCTGTCTGTGTGTGTGCATGTGTGTGCGTCCATGAGCAGGATGAGCATTCAGGAACAGACACTATGTGTGTGCATGCGAGAGAGAGAGAGAGAGAGAGAGAGAGAGAGAGAGAGAGAGAGAGAGAGAGAGGACAAGCTTACTTCTTCAGACCCTTTTTACATTTACAATTTTTCATATACTATTTTTTTAGACATAGTCTCTATCTGGACTCTAATTCTCTGAATACTCTAGGCTGGCTAGTCAGTGAGCCCTACGGATCTTCCTGAGACCACCAATCTAGTACTCAGAAGACAGATGTGTGCTACTACACACAGCCTTCACATATACAAAGCAAGGACTGTACCAAGTGAGCCATTTCCCTAACCTAGTAATAACTTTTTAGGCTACATTATTTTACCAAAAGTTATGTGTAATATCTAAGAATCAATAAAATGTCTAAGACTCCCTCCCAGAAATCCAGTCAGCCGTCAGACTTACATTACAAAGCGAGACCCATTGTAAAAATCCTTCACTGAATAAATAGAAATATGACATTACTAATTAGCTTTATACAATCCTACATCGTGTCACTGATGATAGTGTCCTTCTGGGTTTTTGGTGAGGGGTGGGGTTATGGGGGCATGTGTATAGATAGAAGTATGTTAACCTGTAAGAGACTGGAAGCTGTTGATCTGTGTTGTTGTGCTTTGCCTAAGTGGAATTGTAATGTAAGAATCTTACTTTTTCTTTGCATTTGTTTTGTGGGAAAACCTTGGTCTTTCATTTACATTGTTGCAGAGCACAGCAGCATGTGAGAATCAGCTGAGTATGAAAACTCTTAAAGGACACGTGGGCATGTCTAACGTTAAGAGGTGTAACTTACTTGTATGTGAATTGTGAACTTTGAAGGTAAAACCTCAAGTGTGAGATGGTTGACTCGTGTTTTTGTGTGTCTTTTGTTACAAACTTTCTCACATTCCAGAATACTTGTTTCAATGTGATCACAATGTCTGTGTGTGAGATGCTTGCTGTGTCTACATCCATACAAAGGGCTGATGTTTTCTTCAGTTTTTACTTTATATATCTGGTACTGAACTATGATATAAGACAGTGGATCTCATCAGAAAATCAGGTATTTGTCGTTTGTTTGTTCCTTATTAAGACTGCTCATTTTTCAGAGACTTCTGTTGAAATCATCCATATATTGACCTTCTATTGTCTGTTTAGTAAGAGTTTTCCACACAGAACACTTCCTGATTGGGTTTCTATCCTCCCCCAGTTCCTTCTCCATGTGAACAAGCATGCATGCCTATACCTGTGTCTTTCTATGTAACTTGATGAGAACTAATTCTTTGGGTAAAGTTTCAAGTGTCACTTTATGATTTGTGAATACATGATTAGTTTGTCTTCGCTGTATGGTAAACATTATGTTATGTAAGAATAGAGAAGTGTGGTCACTGTTGTGGGGAAACAGTTTCATTTTTTTAGGTTTAAATTTCAGGTGAGAAACTCAGGGGTTTCTTTCCTGCCAAAGAGTTTTGTTAAAGTCTCTTTATCCCCACTGTGACTTGTAATTACCAGGTCATTATAGAATTTAGAAATGAGCATTCTTTCCATTTCTATTGACTAGTCACTGCTTCTCCAAGGGCACTTGGCCTTATCATTATTATTATTATTAATTTATTATTATTATTATCATTATTCTCTCCTATTTTACAGCCTAACTGCAGTTTCCCTCCTGTTCCTCCCAACCTCTCCATCCCATCTCCCCTCTCCTGCAGAACCATGCTCCCTCCATCTCCCCTCAGAAGAGAGCAGGCCTCCCAGCAACATCAACCCAGCATGGTACAACATACCAGATACATGCAATCACATCAAGGCATGGAGAGGAAATCCAGTAGGAGAAAGGGGGTTCCAATAATAGGCAGAAAAGCCAGCGACCACTCCTGATCCCACCGTTAGGAATCCTACAAGAACACCAAACTGTTCAACCATGACATACATGTAGAGGACCTAGGTCAGACCCCAACTGGTCATACTCCTAATTCTGACATGTCTAAGAGAAGTTTCTGAAAGATTTCAGCAGTAACAGTAACAAAATATTTTTGTCAAAATATTTCTGAGGCATGCCCTTGCTACGTTGCCCATAGTAGCCTTAAAGTCTTGAACATGTGTAATTCTTTCACAACAACAACGAAAAGCTACAAAAGTTCAAGTCATCATTTTGACCAGAGAATTTATTATTTGCCGTAATTTAGGTGGACAAGTGCTAAATAACAGAATGCACCTCAAGGATTTGACAATAGGGATAGTGTTCCTGCTTCAGAGCACAGTTGGAATTGTGGGAAATTTCTCTCTTCTTTCCTGCTACCTCATCCGTTACTACTCTGAACAGACATTAAAGACCACAGACTTGATTCTGACACAACTGTTCACAGCCAATTCCTTGATTATTCTTTCTAAAGGAATGCTAGAGACAGTAGGGGCTTTGGGCATGAAAGGGCTCTTCAGTGACTTTGGCTGCAAACTTCTCTTGTACACTCAAAGACTTGGCAGGAGCATGTCCATTGGCACCACCTGTCTCTTGAGTGTTTTCCAAGCCATCACCATCAGCCCAAATGATTCCTGCTGGAACCGTCCTAAATTCAAGACTCCAAAACACATCGGCCTCTTCACTTCCCTCTGCTGGATGTTCTACATGTCAGTAAATATGATTTTCCCTGTGTATATGTCTACCAAGGGGCACAGCAATAACTTCACACCTAAGAGTGATATGAAATACTGCTCCACTGCGGGTCATGATGACGTTACAAGCTCATTATATATAGCACTTTTTGTTCTTCCTGAAATTTCGCTTTCTGTCCTCATTATCTGGTCCAGCAGCTCCATGGTTGCCATTCTGTACAGGCACAAGCAACAGGTTCAACACATCCGCAGCACCAGTGTTTCCTCCAGAGCATCCCCTGAGTCCAGAGCCACCCAGAGCATCCTGGTCCTGGTGTTCACCTTTCTGGGTTTTTATGCCCTCTCCTCCATCTTGCAAGGTTGTGTTGCTCTCACATATAACCCTGGCTGGTGGTTGATGAACATTACGGCCATCGTTTCTATGTGTTTTCCCACTGTGGGCCCCTTTGTTATGCGTCATGATGCCACTGTACCAAGATTTTGCTATTCCTGAGGAAAGAATCCAAAAATACCACAATGGCATTATAGGTATGAAGACTGTACAGTCTCTTACTCACAGCATCTAAAACTTTACATTCTGCATGTCTTTCAAAACATCAACATTCAACTGAGTCCATCACCACTTATCTTCCTGAGGGACTCTATACTAGGCACTTGGATTTCCATCTTGTTGAAACTAGTACCTGAAATAGCATAGCAGAAGTGAATGCAGCAGGTCATTCTAATGTGAGTAAATAGTGATTGGCTGTTAGAAATCTTCGGCACTGATGCTTAAGGTAAATTGCATGGGTTGAGATTTAATTCTTTAGTGTCAGTTTCCAGAGAGGAGGTGACCAATCATACATGTATTGAAAAACTTAGCACAATGAAGAATAGTGGTAGATGTTGCTGGGAGGTAACTTTTTTTTTTTTTTTTCATTTTTTTTTTAATCATTTTTTATTTTAATTTTAAATAGCTTGTTTCGCATGTCAATCCCAGTTCCCTCTCCCTCCCCTCCTCCCGCACTCCCCTTCCACCCTCCCTCCCACCCTATTGCCAAATCCCTCCACATAGGGGATGTCTAGAGTCTATCATTTCACTCTTGGTAGGGTCAAGGCACTCCCCTAAGAGTCCAGGCTGAGAGAGCATCTCTCTTTGTGCCATAGGCACATGAAGACAGATTGTATACCAGGGATAGACACTGATCCACAGCTCAGAGCCCCATAGGTTGCCCAGGCCTTCTCACTGACACTCACATTTGGGGGACCAGATCAGTCCCATTCTGGCCTCCCCACTGTCGGTCTGGGGTCCAAGAGCACTCCCCTGTTCAGATCAGCCGTCTCTGCTGGTTTTGCCAGCCCATTCCTTGCCAATTTGCTCATCACTCCTCTCTCTCTGTCACTGGGTTCCTTGGGTTCAGTTCAGTGCTTAGTTGTGTGTTTGCCTCTGCTTCCATCAGTCCCAGGATGAAGGCTCCCGGATAGTTATAGACATCAAGTTCATTATCAGGAATGGGCATTCGAGGTGGTCCTTCCACTATTGCTTAGCTTGCCAATTGATGTTATACCTTTAGATCACTCGAGGTCACTCTGGTGCCTGATCTGTCTTCGATCCTATGATTCCCTCTTCCCCCTATTTTACCCCCACCCCCTCAACTTCCTGTTCCCCCATGACCAACTCCCTTCCTCTTTACCCCTCTACTCTTCCCAGGTCCCACTACCCCCCTCGCCCTGTTCCCCATCCATTCAGAGGATCTTGTCTCCATCCTCTTCTCTTGGGTACTATGCATATATGCATATCTTTTAGGTTCTTTCCTGTTTCCCAGACTCTCTATCTGTGGAAGTGCAGACTGGCACTATCCTGATCCATATTTAAAATCCATATATGAGTGAGTACATACCATGTTTGTCTTTTTGCGACTGGGTTACCTCACTCAGGATGGTTTCTTCCAGTGCTATCCATTTCCCTGCGAATTTCAAGATTCCATTGTTTTTTTCTGCTGAGTAATACTCCATTGTGTAAATGTACCACATTTTCTCTATCCACTCTTCAGTTGAGGGGCATCTAGGTTGCTTCCAGGTTCTGGCTATTACAAACAATGCTGCTATGAACATAGTGGAGCAGATGCCCTTGTTGTATGAACCTGCCTCATTTGGATAAATGCCTAAGAGTGGAATTGCTGGGTCTAGTGGTAGATTAATTCCCATTTTCCTGAGGAATCTCCATACTGATTTCCAAAGAGGCTGTATGAGTCGGCATTCCCACCAGCAATGGAGGAGTGATCCTCTCTCTCCACATCCTCTCCAGCATAAATTGTCTTCGGTGTTTTTGATTCTAGCCATTCTGACAGGAGTAAGATGGTATCTCAGAGTTGTTTTGATTTGCATTTCCCTGATGGCTAAGGATGTTGAGCACTTTCTTAAGTGTCTCTTGGCCATTTTAGCCTCCTCTACTGAGAATTCTCTATTTAGCTCTGTACCCCACCTTTCAAGTGGATCCTTTGGTGTTTTGGAGACTTGTTTCTTGAGTTCTTTGTAAATTTTGGAGATTAGCCCTCTGTCAGATGTAGGGTTAGTGAATATCTTTTCCCATTCTGTGGCCTGCCTTTTTGTCTTTTTGATTGTGTCCTTTGCCTTACAAAAGCTTTTTAGTTTCAGAAGGTCCCATTTGTTAATTGTTGATCTCAGTGCCTGTGCCACTGGTGTTATGTTTAGGAAGTGGTCTCCTGTACCAACTCGTTGAAGAGTATCTCCCACTTTCTCTTCTAAAAGTTTCAGTGTGGCTGGATGTATGTTGAGATCTTTGATCCATTTGGACTTAAGTTTTGTACAAGGCGATAAACATGGATCTATCTGCAGTCTTCTGCATACCATTACCCAGTTATGCCAGCACCATTTGTTGAAGATGCTTTCTTTTTCCACTGTACAGTTTTAGCTTCTTTGTCAAAAATCAGGTGTTCATAGGTGTGTGGGTTAAAATTAGGCTTTCGATTCGGTTCCATTGGTCTACCTGCCTATTTTTGTGCCAATACCAAGCTGTTTTCAGGACTATAGCTCTATAATAGAGCTTGAAATCAGGTATGGTGATGCCTCCTGAAGTTCCTTTATTGTATAGGGATGTTTTGGCTATCCTGGGCCTTTTGTTTTTCCATATAAAGTTGATTAATGATCTTTCCAGGTCCTTGAAGAATTGTGATGGAATTTTGATAGGGATTGCATTGAATCTATAGACTGCTTTTGGCAAGATTGCCATTTTTATTATGTTGATCCTACCAATCCAAGAGCATGGGAGATCTTTCCATTTTCTGGTATCTTCTTTGATTTCTTTCTTCAAAGACACAAAGTTTTTGATATACAGGTCTTTCACTTCCTTGGTTAACATTATCCCCAGATATTTGATGCTGTTTTTGGCTATTGTAAAAGGTGATGTTTCTCTGATTTCTTTCTCAGTCACTTCATCATCTGTATATAATAGGGCCACTGATTTTTTTGAGTTTACCTTGTATCCTGCCACTTTGCTGAAGCTGTTTATCAGCTCTAGGAGTAACCTTGCGGAGTTTTTTGGGTCACATATGTAAACTATCATATCATCTGCAAATAATGAAAGCTTGACTTCTTCTTTTCCTATTTGTATCCCCTTTATCTCCTTTTGTTGTCTTATTGCTGTAGCTAGAACTTCAAGTACAATATTGAAGAGATATGGAGAGAGTGGACAGCCTTGTCTTGTTCCTGATTTTAGAGGAATTGCTTTGAGTTTCTCTCCATTTAGTTTGATGTTAGCTGTTGGTTTACTGTATATTGCTTTTATTATGTTCAGGTACGTTCCTGTTATCCCTGATCTCTCTAGGACCTTTATCATGAAGGGGTGCTGGATTTTGTCAAAGGCTTTTTCAGCATCTAGTGAGATGATCATGTGGTTTTTCTTTCGCAGATTGTTAATATGGTGGATTACATTGATAGATTTTCTAATGTTGAACCATCCCTGCATTCCTGGAATGAAGCCTACTTGATCATGGTGGATGATTTTTCTGATGTGTTCTTGAATCCGGTTTGCAAGTATTTTATTGAGTATTTTTGCATCAATGTTCATGAGGGAAATTGGTCTATAGTTCTCTTTCTTAGTTGTGTCTTTGTGTGGCTTGGGTATCAAGGTAATTGTAGCCTCGTAGAAAGAGTTTGGCAGTGAGCCTCCTGCTTCTATAGTGTGGAATACTTTGACGAGTATTGGAATGAGCTCTTCTTTGAATTTCTGGTAGAATTCTGCACTGAAGCCATCTGGGCCTGGGCTTTTTTTGTTTGGGAGACTTTTGATGACTGCTTCTATTTCATTAGGGGTTATAGGTCTGTTTAGATTATTTATCTGTTCTTGATTTAGTTTTGGCAAGTGATATCTATCCAGGAAATTGTCCATTTCCTTTAAATTTTCAAATTTTGTGGAGTACAGATTTTCAAAGTATGCCCTGATGATTCTCTTGATTTCCTCAGAGTCCGTTGTTATGTCCCCTTTCTCATCCCTGATTTTGTTAATTAGCATGTTCTCTCTCTGTCTTTTGGTTAGTTTGGACAGAGGTTTGTCTATTTTGTTGATTTTCTCAAAGAACCAACTCTTTGTTTCATTGATTCTTCTCAATGTTTTCCTGGTTTCTACTTGATTGATTTCAGCCCTCAATTTGATTATTTCCTGGCGTCTGCTCCTCCTGGGGGAGTTTGCTTCTTTTTGTTCTAGAACATTCAGCTGTGCTATTAATTCTCTAGTATGACTGTTCTCCAGTTTTTTCATGTGGGCACTTAGTGCTATAAACTTTCCTCTCAGCACTGCTTTCAAAGTGTCCCATAAGTTTGTGTATGTTGTGTCTTCATTCTCATTGAAATCGAGGAAGTCTTTAATTTCTTTTTTTATTTGTTCCTTTACCCAGGGATGGTGCAATTGTGCATTGTTCAATCTCCATGAGTTTGTAGGGTTTCTGCGATTTGTGTTATTGTTGAATTCTAATGTTAATGCATGGTGGTCTGATAAGATGCAGGGGGTTATTCCAATTTTTTTGTATCTGTGGAGATTTGCTATGTTTCCTATTATGTGGTCAATTTTAGAGAAGGTTCCATGTGGTGCCGAGAAGAAGGTATATCCCTTTGTATTTGGGTGGAATGTTCTATAGATGTCTGTTAAACCCAGTTGGGTCATAACTTCTATTAATTCTTTTGTTTCTTTGTTAAGTTTCTGTCTGGAGGTCCTATCTAGCGGTGAGAGCGGAGTGTTGAAGTCTCCTACTATTAGTGTGTGAGATTTTATGTGCATTTTGAGCTTTAGTAATGTTTCTTTCACGAATGTAGGTGCCTTTGTATTTGGGGCGTAGATATTTAAAATCGAGACTTCGTCTTGATGTATTTTTCCTTTGATGAATATGAAGTGCCCTTCTTCATCTCTTTTGATTGATTTTAATTTGAAGTCTAATTTGTTAGATATTAGGATTGCTACGCCCGCTTGTTTCTTGGGGCCGTTTGATTGGAAGATCTTTTCCCAGCCCTTTACTCTGAGATAACGTCTGTCTTTGGTGTTGAGATGTGTTTCTTGTATGCAGCAGAAGGAAGGGTTCTGTCTTCGTATCCATTCTGCTAGTCTGTGTCTTTTTATAGGTGAGTTGAGGCCATTGACATTGAGGGATATTAATGACCATTGATTGGTGATCCTTGTTTGCGCTTGATTTATTGTTAGTGAAGTTATTTTGTG